AGGGGACAGGTGAACCTGTATCTGTCCCCAGCTGGGGAACATGCACCTCTCCCCTATCTGTGCCCATTGGAACTGCAGCAGCAATGGAGACGTGCTTCTCACCTGGCCCCAAGCTGCTGCGGTGAGAGAGGGCTGGGATAGTCCTCTCTCCCCAGTGAAGTCCTCATACTGAATCCCTCATCCCAGCCCTACCACAGAGCAATGATTTAAATGAAGAAAACTCAAGGACTTTTTGGCTAAGGACCCAAGCAACACTGGGTAAATCTTCTAGCATTTAAATAATTCAAATAATTAAAAAAAAATGCACCAAACACAAAATAATCCCTCCTTTCATCACTCAGTTTCCATTTTAAATTAATCTCCATACTGCCAAACTTCCTATATTCTGAAAGAATGTTTAATTTTTTAAAAATAATTTCAAATGATCAAATCAACAGTTTATTGCTGAATAGCATTACAAATTCACAAACTTAAATATGATTAGTGCTATCTCTTGAAGAAATCTTCATTGTGGTACATTATGGTTAATTCTTTTAGTGTTTTCCTCAGAAAACATAAGTACATTTTTTCCCCCTATTTATTTAAACCTCTCTGTGCTTACAGAGCTGACAAAGAAGAAGATGTAAGGTAGGGCAGTCTCTGTTAGTTTATGAATGGACAAGTTCCTAGTCTTCCAGTAAGCACAAAGATCTTGTGGAGCTGGAATTAGCTTATTCTGAGTGATGCACAGAAACACCAACCGTTGTTCTCACAGTTCTGGAGAGGGATGGATGAGAGTTTGCTGTTTTGTTGCATGGCAGGATTCTGTCCGGGAGCTGCAACTCCTGACATGAAAGCAATACAGCAAAGAAATGAGTTCTCAGAAGCTGCCCATAAATCCCAGATGCTGGCCCATCTCTGCTAACCCTGCGCTCCCTTTTGGCCCTAGACCTCTGCTTTTCCCTTCCCATGTCCGTTGCTTTATTAACTTCAGTGGCTGCAAATAGTTCAGCTATGCAGCTCACTCTGCCTGCCTACTCTGAGGCTGACATGAAAGCAATACAGCAAAGAAATGAGTTCTCAGAAGCTGCCCATAAATCCCAGATGCTGGCCCATCTCTGCTAACCCTGCGCTCCCTTTTGGCCCTAGACCTCTGCTTTTCCCTTCCCATGTCCGTTGCTTTATTAACTTCAGTGGCTGCAAATAGTTCAGCTATGCAGCTCACTCTGCCTGCCTACTCTGAGGCCCTAAAGTGCTGCCTGTCCCCTCTCTATCAGTGGCAGCAGAAGGGAGAAATGGGGGGGGAATAGCGGAGGCTGATGTGAAGCAGCTTCTGCCCACGGTGGGCTGAGGCTTCTCTGGCAGCAGCTCCTGTCTGCTGGGGACCTGTTTAAAATGCAGAGCCACAGCGGTCCGGAGCTGGTGTGAGCCAGGACTGCTCAGTCCAGGCTTGAGCTATCTTCAGGAGCTACCCCTTTGTGGCTCTGCAGAGCTGCACTTATCGACTAATGGTATAGTTGATACAAATTATATCGACTACAAGATTAACCAAATAATTGCTCTTTCACATCCTTACCCTAAAGATGTAATATAAGATGTTGCTATTGCAAGGCAGAGGAAAGATAAGAGCCATTGGAAATCAGTGTAGCAGCACAAGGAGCTTGTTAGCTGCCTAAAAACTGAAAGCGATACATGAAGGAAATGGAATAAGGGGCTTGTAACTATGGAAATATATGTGGGAAGCATTTAGGGACAAAACCAGGGAAGCCAAAGCTAAGGAGGGTTTAACAGATATGTTAAGGCAAAAAAAGAAAGATCAGGGATGGTGTTTGTCTGCTGCTCACTGCAGAAGGTGAGCTGTCAAAAGAATAGGAATTTGGAGCTGCTGAATACCTACTTTGCTTCGGTCTTGACTCAAAAAATAACATTTGGCTGGATGACTAGTGACGTTATCGTAGGCAATAAGAGAGAATGCAGATCTGGATAATAAAGAACATATTAGAGCTCTTCTGACTTCTTTTGAATGAGTTTAATTCTGTAGAACCTGATACTATTCAACTCAGGGTGCTGATAGAATTACCATAAAATCTCGAATATAATGTGCACTGATGTATAATGCGCACCTGACTTTTTAATTTTATCATAATGGAAGAATCTATATTCCTATATACAGTAAACTTCCGATAATACGGCACCTTTGGGACCCAGGAGGTGCTGGATTATCAGATATGCCGGACTATCGGGGGGGGGGGATGCCACCCCAGACCCCTCATAGCCCCCCCTTCCGATAGTCCAGCTCTGCCCCAAG